GACATGAGTTGCAATAAGGAGATTTGCGGGTAGTGAGCTGTTATTGAGATCCTGTTATACAACGCAGCTGATATTATTACAGGTCAACATGTTGCCATCGTTTATGAAAGTTACTAAAGTGTTCCTAGGTCAGTAATAAAGTGACGTTGATAGATTTTTGCAGATGAAAATGAGCTTGATCTTGTGGGCTCCTAGTTTTGGGTACCAATGCTAATAGAAATAATAACTTCTCTTTTGACACCTTAGATATCGGATGGAAACTAATAGTGTCATCGTCCCTTTCCTTATACCCGCTTTGGAAACAAGACAAGCAGGCCAGAGCTTCATGGTGTTTCATAATCTACAGTGGTGGGATGAAATACAGCATCAAAACGGGGATGATTATGTAAATGTAGATAATCAACGCCCATTGGAATAGGTATGTTGCAGTGGAAGGTGAGGTGAAACGCAGAGAGCCCGAACAGAACATATTTCATAAACGATTCTTGTGAACTTCTTAGTGAAGCATCAATTATGAGATATTCATCATTGAACAAAATCCTCCTCTAATTCATTCTGCACTAAATCAAGCAAATGAATGACGCTAAGTCGATTGTATGGCCGAGAACCGGAATGAGTTTGTGTTGCTTCGACGGCTCTTTGTAAGATTAGTGAAGAACGAACGAATGAATCTGTTAAATAAATATCTCTGGTGGTTTCAAGCATGCAGAAGAAAGTTTCCCAACTAAATCAAAAGGTGATCGTCTAATATTAGAACCTCATTTTTTATTCCTGGTGTGAAATACAAAAAAAATACAATTGTATGAACGAAAAACTCACCAAAGAAATGAATACATCACCGACTGACTAAAAGAACAAATCATTTAGCGAATGGATGAATAAATGGAAGGAAGAAGCAGCGAATGAATGGACAAATCAATGAGCACTTGAGTGATGATCATGCCAGTAAAAGAATTACTCAACTGAAAAACGAATGAGCAATTTAATGACGAGAGCTAGTTATGAATCAAACAGAGGAAGCAATTAGGAGGAAAATCACACAAGCTAGAGAGAGAAACGAATTTACCAATAAAAAGCACCAGAGGAGAATGAAATAGTAAAGAAGGAGCCTACGTGGCGTAAATAAGGCACAATTACAAAGGAGTCTTTCTACGAAATCAAACCATTTTATAAATTTAGTAAAATAACCAGGGAGAGAACGACATCGCAGAAGCAGAAGGAGCATCTTCTGTATGAAGGATTCAGGCCAAAATTCATATATAAGGCGCCCCGGACTACAGGGTGCAATGGCGATTTTTGTTGTTGTTGCAAATCTAAGGATTTTAAGTGCGCCTTATGGTCCGAAAAATACGGTACACTGTTTTGCACTGTTTCATTTTTCAACTTCTGAATAATTCGTTCTTGCGTATTAGAACTTCCGGCAATTCCGCATTTTACCACAACGGCTTTTTCTCAATACCTCTTGCGACTTTAATTTCCACGATTTGACCTCTGACATTCCGATGGTAATGCCAAACGTTCTTCGTCCAGTTCCATTCTTCAAGTCATCCCTCGTTCTTTAATCGCAAGTTCTTTCGTGAATGCTTGTTTAAGAATTCCTTTCAGCTTCCTTAGCCGTCGACGATCCGCTGTCTTCGGTGGGTCAGTGGTTCAGTGGGTCTGTAGGTCAGTAGGTCACTGGGTCAAATACGCATGACCAGCGATCTTCATCTGACTGTTGAGACAGTCAGCAAAGATATCGGTATAGTCAACAGTTTCGAAACTTCACACAAATGCTGTGACCGGATCTGAGATTTCAGCGTTCTGATACGAGACTCAGGACGGTAAGCAGTCGGAGAACAGCTGATCGAGTCGGGTCGGGCAATTAATTTGAAGATTGAAACTACCTTGTTTTGAAGACAGTTAAATTTCTGGCTGAGGCAGAAATTTTTCCATCAAGATGTTCTTCTTGTGGTGCTCAAGTATGGGTGTGAAACGTGACCTGTAAGCTGAAATGGCTCAATAAACCGTAAATGACGCATCGAAGGATCTAAAAATAGATTTTTCTGATATAATAAACAATCAGAAGATGAACCAATGGATAGGAACAGTACCAGGAGTCGCCAATTTGATTGACTGAGAGAGGAAGTGGATGCGTCAATGGAACAAATGTTCTATTTCTCATAAAGTTTCAATCGCGCTATCTCTCGTCATTGCGGAACGTGTCATTTTATATCTCCAGCAATCATCACGAGTCTCTTGATAGTTCTGCACGACTCCGTGAAAGAAATGGAAATGTCCTCGAATCTACAGTACTGCATGACGAAGCAATCATTTTCCTGATTTTGGTTGGGTCCACTATAACGGCAAATGAGTTTTAGGAAGCCAGCCGAAACTTCTTTATCCCTCTCCTGACAGTCGCTTCCTTTTATAACCGGAACGGACACTTTTGGAGTGTCTACGGAGGTTCACAAAATTTATTATCTTATGACTGGCAGTTATTGAATGGAGCTGGTAAAATTCACCTGCCGATCCGTGGCATAATATTCGATTTTTCTACATGAGGAGGCCGTCATGGGGCATGCATGCAAATGAAGCTATTCTGGACGTATTTCTACTGCGACAGTGCTGTGATTGACTAATGTAAATAAAAAAAGTTTATCAAGGTTGGAATCTCAGTCTATTCCACTTTCATGACTGGCTCATTTTGAAGAAATTCATTCACAGAAGTTGATGCTATCCGAAAAATCGGTTTTATGACATCAACCAGCGGTGACTCATTCAAAAGGCAGAGTCGATAGCCCCGCAGCAACTGTTGCCTCTTTCTCCTGTTTCCTTCCCGCAGGCTGATGCAGATTTCTCAACCTCGGAAGGAAGGAGGTCGACAACTCCAGACAAATCGGTTGTTAGACGTTTCCGAAAAATCAATCCCATGTATCTCGTGGTTTGCTGTAATTTTAGCTAACTGTGTCAGTATACAGCAGGGTCAAGACTAGTAGGGAATGGTTGCACTTTAAGGTCACATATTGGTGTATACTTATTATTGAGTGAATTCCCTCATGTAGGAACTGAGTCACAT